CAACGACCCCATTCCTGCATTCAAAGTTAATCCAGGGTTTTTTTCCTAAACGTACGGTTTTTTGTTAAAATCTCTTAAGAGATTTTAACTGACGGAGCTCTCTCTGACATTGCAAAGTCACTGGTGACCTACTTAAAACCGCGGGAAAAGCAGACAACAACAACACTATATAAGATTCATGAGATATATTCGTCTTTTTGTTAAAAATGCATTTATATCCACAATGTGTGCCATTCTGGGCTTTTCGTTATCCGACGCACTGTACAAAAACTCGCAACTTACGTCTGCGTCTGCACTAATGCGTTTGGCGCCATGTTATTTTGGTCTCGAATGAACGCGAGAATCCGCGTGACACCATTACGTCATTAGCAACGAATGCACTTGTCGACCGGAAAAAAGGCATCGTAAGCCCTATTGACAAGCACAGATTTTAGTTTTCCTACAATAACGGCCGTTTTAGTGGTAAAATACAATAGAATATATTTCCATGCGTTTTTTACAATGTATTTCATGCGGATTTTTGAATCTCAAAGGAAGAGTTATTATTGCTTTAAACATAAGATAAGATTTCTAGTTCTTTCCATAAAACATCACATGGACTTACTGTGTTATTTTAAATGGCAAATTTTTATGTAAGTGTCTGAAAAAACTAAATCTTGAAAAGGTCAACTCTCTTCCTCCACACACGTCATTAAATGGATGTTTAATAGCTAGGCCCCTGCAGCAACGGTGCATGTAAAGGCAGGAAGACTATCGAGACATTAGCGGTATTGCTTTTTAAGTGGACTCTGCCATATTAAGTCAGCGGATCAGTTACTCGGCAGATCATCTGTTATAAATGTGCTTTAAGTTAAAGGAAGCATTTCAAAATATTTTCCTTAAACCTGTCACCTTATACTGTACACCTTCCTGACACCTACCCCTGCGTCTCCAGCAAGACTCCAGTTTGTGGCACCTTTTCTTATTTCGTCAATGCTCCACGACCTTTCCCACACCTTCTCCTCCTCTTGGCTAGGTGGTGCCCCCTGAAGACCATTTTCTTGTGGAGCGACGGGGCCATTGGTGACTGGACCGTTAGCCTAGAGGAGACACAAAACACATCCAACAACATTAAAATAATTTATTTTGTCATTTTCATTAAAAAATAAAAAAGGAAGAATGTGCACTTGTTACACATGACTGGCTTACTTGTATAAACTCCAGAAGTTTCAACATGAATTTAACCTGACTGCATTCAACGACACCCTAGACAATAAAGTCCAAGTTACTTGATGTTGGTCACCCCCCCCCCCCCTCTCCCCCAACCTCAAAATATTTAGAAAAATTACTAGTCAATTTAATTAAACATGCTGTGTCTCCGACCGCTTAGCAATGTGCCATAATATAAGTGCATTAATTGTATTAATTACCGAATAATCAAAATGTAGTTAAAATAGCGTCTGAACATCAAAATAAAAGCGAAAGTTATCAAAGAACAGGATATCAACATTGAAATTATCCAAACCCGAGCGATTCGTCGCTCTGCACAAAGGTTTCTAATTACCCTATGGGAAATATTAAAAATCCATAATGTGAGAACAGTAGCATATTTATATACTCACCGTCGTTCCCGTGTCTAGTGGCGGAGGAAGAGGAGTATCTCCCATATTAGGAGGTGGTGGGGGAGGCGGCGGCGGAGGTGGTGGTGGTGCCATCTTGGATTTGTCATGTGATAATATTGAACCGATGTTTGGAGTTTAGTTTCGGGTTACGCTGTAGGTACCAAATTAGTGTAACTGTGAAAACAAAAAAGATTTTGTGGTTGTGTGGTGATCTTTTGTATAATTAATAAGTGGTCTATGAAGGAAAATACACAAGAACCTAAAAGTATGTTTCTTAGATTTAAAAAAATGAAAAATTTAAGATCACGACGATCTCTGTGACCTCAATGACCTCACAATAAACGCACACAGCAGAAAACGTCTGCGCTTTCATAACGCAACTATTTGTACACGCAGGTCTTGGAAACGACTTTGGTCACTGTAAATAGGCCTACCTATAATATATCATTTAAGTAGTGAAGAGGCCTCTTTATAACGTTTTATATGAATCAAAGTCTTCATGCAGGTTAATTAGGGCTGAGGCACCAGGACAAAATGTTTTAGGCCTATAGAAAATTGATTTTATGAAGCTAATTTTCACGTAAGAGCCTATTTCATTTGTCAACACAAATCTTCGTTTGTATGGAATTAAAACGGACATAGGCTATAAACATAAAATCGCTATGACAAACGCCTAGGTCTACAAAAAATTATCAAAAAATTATAAGATAGGCCTATAGGCCTATAAATAAATAGGCTAAAAAGAGACAAAGACGCAATCACTTATCTGAAATTTCCCACACTCTTGATGAGGTAGGCTATAGGAAAAAGTTAAGCTTGGCCACCAAAGCTAAGATGTTGCCAATATCAAATTTTGCCTCTTGGGGCGACTTTGACGAACGCAAATTCAATCTCATCGAAAAAATTCCAGCATTATGTAACGTGAATATGAAGCCTCACAACTGGGTTATCTTATTGTAGATCATTAGATATAGGCCTATGCTTTTATATACAGACTATTTTCAGGGGCGGATCCAGGATTCTCTACAAGGGGGGGAGGGGGGGGGGGGTATTTGAAAAAAACGAAAATAAAAAGAAAGAGAAAGAAAAGAAAAGAAGGAAAAATAATTTTTCAACTTTAATACGTGGAACGAACGATCAAAATTTAATACTGAATAAATTATAAATTAGGCCTACTATTTAAAATAAAAAAAGTCTTCTAATAACAACGCAAGATCGTAACGTAAGCTTTATGACACTTGATCACGGTCACTTTGTTCAGTTTCAAAATTTTTATATCTAGGCATGTATTGCAGGGGCGGATCCAGAGATATTTTCTGACAGTCTTCCATATTATATTTGTTGATCCATCCTCCATTTTTTGACCGTCTTCCGACAGAAAAAATTAGATACCCGTCAATGTAAACTTGAAAATCTGACCGTCTTCCGGAAGACCCAGAAGACGGCCTAAATCCGCCCCTGTATTGAACATAATTTGTCTGTACCAATATACCTAGTGTTCGGCAACTTAGGTTGTATGAGCGCCAGGGAGATGTGAAAGGTTGACAGTGACAGCTCAGACTTATTACAATGTTAAAACGCGTATTAAAAATTAAACGTATAAACGATAAATATTTAATTACAATTTTTATCTTATTGTTTTATTCATTTGTTTTCCGTTTTTTTTTCCTCTCTACTCATGGTACTGTCATCAGGGTAGGCCTACTGATAATCCGAAGCCATGAATGAAGGCGTCCGTTGTTAATTATCACCTATATCAGTAGACCTTCTATATACACAAAAATATTCATTAGTTTCTGCTGCCTGGTATAAGTTAATCAAGATTCTTCACGTGACCTAGTGCTGCTTTCTTTAGTTTCGTAAAATCACAATAATTTGTTTTCATTTCTCACAGTAACAACTCAGTCGATTACAAAATATGTTATAGAGTACTGAGGTGGCTGTATATGCTATGTCCAGTGTACTTTCAATTGACTCACTACAATTCACTACAATCAAAAGAACCATGCTCCCTCAGGCTGCAGTCACCCTACATTTTGGATCAGTGTTTGTACATGCATACGCACGTTCTAAAGTGACCCGCGAGAAGTTCACGGCTACCTGTAAGGCCTACCAGTTTAACGGACATCCGGCCTATCATAATTTTGGGGAGAAGGTATGTTGCTCAGAAATTTTCATCAAATTTGCCTGTTCATTTCGAAGTCACTGCTTAGTACTTATTACTCTTATTATAAAATAAAATAGTAAACAGAATAATCAAAATAAAAAATAATAAATAAAATGTATATGTTAAAAAGATATTATAAACAATTATGGGCATCACTATCAAACACCACCCCCCTATTAACAAGTTGACCAGGAACGCCACCATGTGACTATATACCAACTAAAGGTATAAAAGCGCAGAATTTCGAAATTTCGTTCATTCTACGCAGACAGATCTGGAGCAACAGGAAGGATACCATTTACTGCGCCCCGTATCAAGCAATAAGGACACAGGACTCGCGTTTCTCCGAATCTATTCCTCATCCCAAGTCAACGCATCGCTCATCGGAGTCGTCTGGACGGTGGATTCGACGTTTCTCTAAGCTGGTCAGCTAAAACCTTCGCATCTCTCCACGAGGAATCGTCGCTCAGGAATCTTCGCAGGATACGTCATCGGCTTTCTGCTGTTGTGGGCTTTATTTTTGTAGTGTCATTGCATTTATTTCCATGCATTCCAGGTTTCTTCTATTCCAGGTCCAGGAACCAGAGTGCTGACATAGGTAGGCAAAGTTATTAATCCGTTTTTCTTTCTTTTACCAGAAGTCCATTATGTCGATTCTCGATAGAGCTCCCACTGACAACTGCAAGGAGAAGAGGGCCACATCTACACGTCGGTCAATCCTTGGTGCCAGCGAGTCCTGCCAGGTCCGTCTCTGCGAGGTGGCTGCATTAGGGAAGCGTCCAGCGAGTCCTGCCATGGTCTGTCTACAAGATTGCTGCAATGAGGAAGCGTCCAAGACATATGGTGTTTCAGTGATATGGAAGACCCCCAAAAGGTAAGCCTGACTGCCGAGTGCTGGCATAGAAAGGAAAAAGTCGTTAATTTCTTTTCTGTTAACAGAAAACCTTTAAAGGTAAGCCTGAATGCAGAATGCTGACATATGTAGGAAAAGTCATTAATCCCTTTTTTATTTCTGTTAACAGAAATATGTAGAAAAAGTTATTAATCCGTGCAGAGTAGTGACATATGTACAATGTACATTGTATGAGAAGTCATTAAGCCGTTTTTCTTTCTGTTAACAGAACTCGATTAAGGTGATTCTCGATAGAGCTCCCACTGACAACTACAAGGAGAAATGGGCCACATCTACAATTCAGCTACTTCGTTCAATCCTAAGTGCCAGCGAGTCCTGCCATGGTCTGTCTACAAGATGGCTGCAATGTGGAAGCGTCCAAGGCATATGGTGTTTCACTGAGATGGAAAACCCATTAAGGTAGGACTGACTGCAGAGTGCTGACATAGGTAGGAAACGTCATTAATTTTTTATCTGCTAACAGAAAACCTTTAAAGGTAAGCCTGAATGCAAAATGCTGACATATAGAGGAAAAGTCATTAATCCATTTTTTATATATGTTAACAGAAATATGTAAAAAAGTTATTAACCCGTTTTTCTTTCTGTTAACAGAACTCGATTATGGTGATTCTCGATAGAGCTCCCACTGACAACTGCAAGGAGAAAGGGGCAACATCTACAATTCAGCTGCTTCGATTAATCCTTAGTGCCAGCGAGTCCATGGTCTGTCTACGAGGTGGCGTCATTGGGGAAGCGTCCAGCGAGTCCTGCCATGGTCTGTCTATGAGGTGTCTGCATCAGGGAAGCATCCAGCAAGTCTTGCCAGGGTCTGTCTATGAGGTAGCTGCAGTGGGGAAGCGTCCAGCGAATGTGGCCATTGTCTGTCTACGAAGTGGCTCCATTGGGGATATAGTGTTTCACTGAGATGGAAAACCCTTAGAGGTAAGCCTGACTGCAGAGTACTAACATGGGTAAAGAAAGTCATTAATCCGTTTTTATTTCTGTTAACAAAAAAAAAAAAAAAACCCTAAGGGTAAGCCTGAGTGCTGATTACTGACATATGTAGAAAAAGTCATTAATCCATTTTTATTTCTGTTAACAGACATGTATAGGAAACGTCACTAATCTGTTTTTTTTTTTTTCTTTCTGTTAACAGAACTCGGTTGTGGTGATTCTCGATAAAGCACCCACTGACAACTACAAGAAGAGGGGCACATCAAATAAAGAACAATCCTTGGTGCCAGCGAGTCCTNGGGAAGCGTCCAGGGCATATGGTGTTTCACTGAGATGGAAAACCTTTAAAGGTAACCCGTGTTATTGGGGAGAGAAATAGACTTAAATGATTTTTTCAGTTGCAGTCTTTACCATAAGCTTTTCGTCTTACTGGCCATTGGACCTAAACTTTCCTTAAATCTTTTGGTCTAAATAAGGATTCACTGGTCCGAATACAAATTTCAATGAATTTGGATTGGATTGCATTTGAATATATATTTAAAATATAAAATTTTAAGACCTTGACATTTTTAGAATTACGATATCAGTTAAAAACTAAATCAAATCAAAAGCTGTTTTGAAAACTTAGAAAAAATCATATGTTCTCCACACTAAATTCATACATTCTGAACAATCTTCTTGTCCAAACAATTATTAGTATGTCGCAGTCATTGATTACACAGAAAATAATAGAAATATTGATACAACAAAGGGTTGGTAATTCAATAAACATTCTTAATAATAATTGGAATGTGTTACCGTTTTAGAGAACAAAGGAAAAGGAAAAGGAGATGAGACCCTGAAAAATCGCAACGTGAAAACAAAGCGGCTGGACAGCAAGAAGTACAGCGACCTGATAGTGCTGGGTTTGCCTTGGATCAGCACAGAAGATGACATGAAGTCTTACTCCTCAGTCAACATGGCACAGGTACTCATTGCTACTCATTCGGATCACTGGGTCCCTTGAAAAAAGTTTTTTAAGTTAGTCTTTACTTTTAGACGAAAGGGATCAAAATGGAGTAATCCAAATATCATTGGTATCAAACAATAGCAGTTTTGTTCTTCTCGTAAAACTTTAAATTATACCTTTTGGAAACCGTTATCTAGTCATAAAATGTAGACATTTGTTTTCTATTTACAACTTATTCAAGGAAATTCTTAGTCCAGACATTTAAGAATCCAAAAGCTCTTTTAATTTGTCACAAACTTGAAAAAAATCACTCGCGCAAAATATTTTGACTTCCTATCGGCCAAATTTCAGATTTTCATCAGTCCAAATGCGACACACGTGGCGTTGTCACTGGTCTAGAGTACTGGGAGCTACTACCCCCCAACCTCACCCTAAGTGCTGCGGTTGTGGTACTAAAAGGCCATCGTACAGGTGAGCATGTATTTTCACTTATATTGTTTAGATCGTTAGACGTTTGTGTGATTCATATGTCTTCCTTTATACCTCTTATTCTTCAGTCACTTTCTTATTGTAGAATATTAGCACTCTTCTAAATCATAATGTGATTTTCTTGTGTTGTGTTATAGAAGTGAAAATAAAATAAAATAAAAGTAAGTAAAATAAAACAAAATTAAATAAAATAAAAAGTAGTCATGTTAAGAACCATAACATAATGAAACATCAAAATACTAGTATTAGTATTATCGGTGTGTAAATACCAGTGAAATACATATTCTTTGTTGCAAATACTGCAAGCGTTCAATTGCTTTTCATACTTTACGTTTCATTTGTAGGCTACGACAGGGCAGTTTTCCAGATAAAGCAGATAATGCTAGAACGCAGAAACCATCAATCCTCGCCTAAATGTGCAAATGTGCAACACTATATGTCGCTAGCAACGAGCTCCTGTAGCCACTTTCATTGATGACCGGACATCCTAGCAGTCTTCGTTTTAAGGACACAGCTTGTCTGCCAAAAAAAATTAGAGAATGTGGAAGTGATGATGAAGAGCGATATACTGAATATAAGAGGAATACTGGTACAACCTAATAATGTACTCAAGTCTTTTGGATATTGAGAATTTATGCACTTCACGGGTCACAGAAACGAGTCGGGTGTAATTGCATTTAGTGAGTTTTTTTCAGTTATGACAGTGGAACATTTTATTCCAATAACTTAAGAGAGCACCGAAGTTAAGGATGCTCATTCTTAATTCCATAAATGTTCAATTGAATAAGATGAAATGTGGTTCTGTGTGAAAATTTTGTCAACCTCTACAGTTATTATTTAACGTTCAAATAGAATATGTAGTTGCTTTATCCACATTCCAAATGCAGATAGGTTTTTACTCACAAAACACCACCACTTATGGTCGCCTGTGTTTTATTTCAATCCTAGTGATGTAGTCAATTTTCAAATTTGTGCTGTTGATGATGTGGAGTTGTTCGTCAGTATAGCGTTTGAGAAAATCATAATCCGCACACTAACCTCAACTAACCCTCACATCTTTGTAAAATCTTACTTCATGTAAATGTTTTTACATGAAGAGGTTTTACATTGACGGCTGGTGCAAGATCTATAATGAAATATTTTACGTTTGTGAAAATATTTCATTATATGTCTTGTGCAGTCTGCTCCTCGTGAGGGATGGCTGGATGCATTCAGGCATCTCTCAAGATAGAGGATCGCACATTACTAATATCACTAGTATTATGATTTTCTCAAGTGTTATAGCTGACAAATATATCCAGTTCATCACATATGCACCCTTTTCTCCGGACCCCAAAAGTCATATTGAAATTTACATGGACGGTCATACAGTGAAATATGTCGAAGCAAGCTTGCTTTATTCATTACTTGTATCATACAGGTAGTTGCGATTTCAGGGCAAAATTACATTTGAGAAACTTCTGTTTTAAACAGTTATATGTCAAAGTTTAGTTTAAATCATTGAGGTGTCTGGGTAATAAACATGTTACCTGAACTTTTTATATATTTTACCATATAGAAGAACTATATTCTAGTTTTGATGGATGCTTTCAGTTGTAAAGGGATCGATTTTAATCTATGACTTATTAATATAAGTCTCAGTTTAATTGTGTTAAGACTCTAGTAAATGTGTCTTAATTGTCTTTAGTACCTCTTTCAGTAGGAAGAACGTACTTTGTTAAATTCTTGTGCTTCATCTTGTGTACCAATATAGTGTATGTAGAGAAAAGTTTGTAGTCACGAGAGAAAATACAGTTGCACCATGTTGTCTAAAACGGGAAGATATTCTTGAACTGTAATGCCAATGAAAAACTGAACTAATGACATTAAAAAGACTGAAGTATCCGGGCATGGGCACTTTCCCGGCATTCCCCACGAAGGGTTTAGACGGGTTTTTCCCCACGGCCCGAGAGAATTGGGTTCTACCATTTATTGATTCATTGCGTTTACATGATTCATTAATGATTACTAAAGTACTTTTGAAATTGAATGTTATTGTATTTAGAAGTTGAATAAAATTATATTTTCTAATTTTTTCTTTTTATTAAAAGTAGTGTACAGATGGCAAAATAATCACCAGACTTACAAATTAATTCTAATAGAGTTGCATGCATATGCGCGCGGCTTGTTTAATTATCGATTAGTCGAAATTCTTTTCATTTGCTCCTTATCTTACTAAAACTTGAGATTTGTCGATTTCTGCCTCGTAGATTTCTTCCATAAAACCAGGCAATGTCCAGGTAATAAAACTGATTTTTGGTTTTGGAAATAAAGCTGCGGTGTTGCGTTACTTTTTTCTCCGGGAGTAACTCGAGCCGATACCTAGACTTTCCTTAGTCGGATTAGAGCCCCTAGAAACGACTATCTTAAAGAAATCTATCACGCTGTGGATGTAAGAATCCAGCACCTCTTGATGTTGAAGAAGGGGTACCTCATATATATACTTAGGGGCGGATCCAGGATTTCCTAGAGGGGCTTCGTTTTTCTTGATCCTCACACGAAATAAAAGAAGAAAAAAAACTTTTAAGTCATGGAACGATTCGAATTAAGCATTAAATAAATTAATTATAAATTTATATTTTGTCGCATACTCTATTGACAGACCACATCTAAGATAATCTTGCGCCATAATCAGCTATGGTTGTGTTAAGAGAGGCATTAATAGACAAGACAGTCGAATGAAAAGATCGAAAGTAGGTCGATGGCATTGAAAGTCAAAGTGCCCATTTTCAAAATGATTTTGGGTACTTCTTACTCTTAGTAGAAAATTCCCATTTAAATATTAAATTCTGCATATTTCAAGAAGACTTATCACCGTTTACATCCACACAAAGACAGCCAATTTGGACATTTGATTCCAACCGCGCTTTACTGGGAAACTTATATTTCAATCGATCGTTATATTTCAAATGAATGCAGCTACAGGTNAACCTCACCCTAAGTGCTGCGGTTGTGCCATCGTACAGGTGAGCATGTATTTTTCACTTGTTTATATTGTTTAGATCGTTAGACGTTTGTGTGATTCATATGCCTTCCTTTATACTTCTTATTCTTCAGTCACTTTCTTATTGTAGAATCTTAGCACTCTTCTAAATCATAATGTGATTTTCTTGTGTTGTGTTATAGAAGTGAAAATAAAATAAAATGAAAAGTAAGTAAAATAAAACAAAATTAAATAAAATAAAATGTAGTCATGTTAAGAACCATAACATAATGAAACATCAAAGTACTAGTATTAATATTATCGGTGTGTAAATACCAGTGAAATACATATTCTTTGTTGCAAATACTGCAAGCGTTCAATTGCTTTTCATACTTTACGTTTCATTTGTAGGCTACGACAGGGCAGTTTTCCAGATAAAGCAGATAATGCTAGAACGCAGAAACCATCAATCCTCGCCTAAATGTGCAAATGTGCAACACTATATTCGCTAGCAACGAGCCCCTGTAGCCACTTTCATTGATGACCGGACATCCTAGCAGTCTTCGTTTTAAGGACACAGCTTGTCTGCCAAAAAAATTAGAGAATGTGGAAGTGATGATGAAGAGCGATATACTGAATGTAAGAGGAATACTGGTACAACCTAATAATATACTCAAGTCTTTTGGATATTGAGAATTTATGCGCTTCACGGGTCACAGATACGAGTCGGGTGTAATTGCATTTAGTGAGTTTTTTTCAGTTATGACAGTGGAACATTTTATTCCAATAACTTAAGAGAGCACCGAAGTTAAGGATGCTCATTCTTAATTCCATAAATGTTCAATTGAATAAGATGAAATGTGGTTCTGTGTGAAAATTTTGTCAACCTCTATTATTATTTAACGTTATTATTTAACGTTCAAATAGAATATATAGTTGCTTTATCCACATTCCAAATGCAGATAGATTTTCGCTCACAAAACACCACCACTTATGGTCGTCTGTGTTTTATTTCAATCCTAGTGATGTAGTCAATTTTCAAATTTGTGCTGTTGATGATGTGGAGTTGTTCGTCAGTATGGCATTTGAGAAAATCATAATCCGCACACTAACCTCAACTAACCCTCACATCTTTGTTAAATCTTATTTCATGTAAATGTTTTTACATGAAGAGGTTTTACATTGACGGCTGGTGCAAGATCTATAATGAAATATTTTACGTTTGTGAAAATATTTCATTATATGTCTTGTGCAGTCTGCTCCTCGTGAGGGATGGCTGGATGCATTCAGGTATCTCTCAAGATGGAGGATCGCACATTACTAATATCACTAGTATTATAATTTTCTCAAGTTTTATAGCTGACAAATATATCCAGTTCATCACATATGCACCCTTTTCTCCGGACCCCAAAAGTCATATTGAAATTTACATGGACAGTCATACAGTGAAATATGTCGAAGCAAGCTTGCTTTATTCATTACTTGTATCATACAGGTAGTTGCGATTTCAGGGCAAAATTACATTTGAGAAACTTCTGTTTTAAACGGTTATATGTCTAGTTTAGTTTAAATCATTGAGGTGTCTGGATAATAAACATATTACCTGAACTTTTTATATATTTTTCCATATAGAAGAACTATATTCTAGTTTTGATGGATGCTTTCAGTTGTAAAGGGATCGATTTTATTTATTTATGACTTATTAATATAAGTCTCAGTTTAATTGTGTTAAGACTCTAGTAAATGTGTCTTAATTGTCTTTAGTACCTCTTTCAGTAGGAATAACGTACTTTGTTAAATTCTTGTGCTTCATCTTGTGTACCAATATAGTGTATGTAGAGAAAAGTTTGTAGTCACGAGAGAAAATACCGTTGCACCATGTTGTCTAAAACTGGAAGATATTCTTGAACTGTAATGTCAATGAAAAACTGAACTGATGACATAAAAAAAGACTTAAGTATCCGGGCGTGGGCACTTTCCCGGCATTCCCCACGAAGGGTTTAGACGGGTTTTTCCCCACGGCCCGAGAGAATTGGGTTCTACCATTTATTGATTCATTGCGTTTACATGATTCATTAATGATTTCTAAAGTACTTTTGAAATTGAATGTTATTGTATTTAGAAGTTGAATAAAATTATATTTTCTAATTTTTTCTTTTTATTAAAAGTAGTGTACAGATGGCAAAATAATCACCAGACTTACAAATTAATTTTAATAGAGTTGCATGCATATGCGCGCGGCTTGTTTAATTATCGATTAGTCGAAATTCTTTTCATTTGCTCCTTATCTCACTAAAACTTAAGATTTGTCGATTTCTGCCACGTAGATTTCTTACATAAAACCAAGCAATGTCCAGGTAATAAAACTGATTTTTGGTTTTGGAAATAAAGCTGCGGTGTTGCGTTACTTTTTTCTCCGGGAGTAACTCGAGCCGATACCTAGACTTTCCTTAGTCGGATTAGAGCCCCTAGAAACGACTATCTTAAAGAAATATATC